ATGCTTGATATATTAGATCTTCATTTTGTTTCCCGTCTAATCTTTGAATTGTTTTGAATTTAGTCTTCGACTTTTGGATTTTGCCTTTTTTTTTATTACTATTTTTGCATTATTTTCTCCAATTCTTCATCAAACATCGAGATTTATCTACAAAATGTAATAGAACACAAAATAGGTAGTATTTTATCCAAAAAACAGTAAAATACCATCATTTGGGATCTAAAATAAGTGTAGAAACTACTCTTATCATTGCACATGCTAAACTTAGTTTTCCTTATAATCTTATGGACATTTTGATGGTTTTCTATTTACATTTAAATATTACTTGAAAGGAATTGATGTTTTCCATTCGCAAGGGTCGAACAAGGATTTGTATTTTTTATTGAATAAAAATGTTCTATTAAGTTGCAAGTGAGACGACCAACAAAAGGATCGATTGTGCATTCAACGTAGCTAGCTCAGACTTTAAATCTTGAACGTATCATTATAATAATAGTAAAAACATAAATTTAAAGGCCAAAGCCATTTGTACCCGGGCGTGTACACGACCCCACCGGCCCCCTCACAATGAGAGGGGCCCGAGGTGAATAAAATAATGGGGCGGGCCCTTCCATTGTGTGTGGGGGGAGGGGGGGGGGCGTGGGGCCGGGTACACGAATAGCATGGTTCAAAGTTTACACGCCCGTGTACGAATAGCATGGTTCAAATTTAAAATGTCGTATTACAAATCTGGATTTGTTGCAGGCATTTATTCTTTGTCTGACGATGTGGGAAATGGTTGGAACCTAATAATCTTTTGCCATAAATGTGATGTGAAAAAAAAAAAGAGGGTAACAAATAAAAATAAAATATATCTGGTTACTGGGTAGCTTTCATATACCTAAAATTAATTTTGTGTCGGCAAACAACTTAAATGTGATAAGTTGTCTAAGTTGGTTTTATGTATATTTGATTCTGCGTGTTTACACGGATTATATTATAACTGTTCTTTTGTGTGTGTGTGTGTGTGAAACTATGCTTAATTTGCAAAGAAATTATTTGAAAAAGAAATGAGTTAGATCAATCATAATTTGCTTATGTGCATGCAAATAAGTAATTATGCACCTTAGACATTCATAATTACTTGAAAGTATATTCATGATGGGAAATGAAAAATAAAACTAATAAATTTTGATTCTTCTTATTCCAACTCAACTTATTATGACGACGTGAGATTCGCATTGTAATGGAGTTATAAGAATTCGAGAAATCAATAGTTGACTTCACTCAAGTCGCATAAAAATTTCATATAGAGAAGTATGTCCTCTCTTTCACAAAATACATATAATTAAAGTTCGATTAAACATGTCCAGCGACCACTTTATATCTTATTCATTAAAGAAAATATCGAAAAACAAAAATTCCCATAATGAGGCATACATAAACTTTTGAGGAGTTGAAACTTCAAATTAATCCATAATGATTAATCCATTCTTTATAGCCTTCTAATGGCCCTACTTAATTATCTTATAGAATCTATTTACATTAATTAATTGTTATTTATAATTTCAATAATAAAGACAGCCATGCCGGATCGTTACCTACCAAAATAATTGTAAAATAAATTTCAAATTAAACTATTTTCATATAATATAACCCCCCAATTATGGTGTCACATTTTCTTGCTAGCAATATCTTTTACACCATCAAGGATGATTAAGCACAATTATTAAATCAATATTTACTCATTGGAGCGTTATGAAATAATCAAGGGCATTTTTTATATATAAATTAGCATATAAGCA